GAAATCTGGGACAAGGTTTAGGCTCTCCAGCTGAAACTATCTGAATACAAGTTTAATTCCTGGTTTTAACACAATAAGCAAGCACTGATCTATGCATCTTGTAGATTCAATTAAGTAATGGATAACTCGTTGCGTTTTGCTTTAGATTGCTCGTGATGTAGACGGCTCGGGGAACTACCTAATGCTAACGCACAGACAAGTGGCCCAGCTTCACCCTTTCTCATCGTATTACAATACCAGACGGGTTCCTGAGTGGGTTTTATTCCACGAGTTTAGTGTATCAGAAGGCAATTCCATCAGAGTCGTCTCCGAGATATCACCCAATCTGTAAGTCAACAATGATAAAAATGTTTCTTCTCTCATACCTCTGCCCCCCAAAAAGGGCAAGGATGTGTGTGTATATTGAGAGCAGTGCCTGGAGAAGTCCACTCTGGTCATCTTCTCCTTTCCCTTTACCTCTGTCATAAAACCACCTATGCTCTGGTTCTGTTGACAACACATTCCAAGCATAACTGAGTCACTCTAGGTATGGATGTGGGTTAAAAAAAAAAATAAATAAAAAAAAACGTAAAATAGGTATGAGAAAAGAACAACCTTCATACCTAGTCAAGCAAGAGGAGCTGGCAGCCCTGCAAGGGTGAAGCAATTGTTGCTTTTCACACTTTTTATATTCACTAGTGAACAGATGTAGGATAAATTTTATTTCTTTGTTGCCAGCATTGTTCTGTCACTGTGCGTAACTTTGCTTTGATGTCTTCATTTTCATTCAGAACACTCGCTGCATTACAGCTCAGAACTATTAAAAAAGGGAAGAACTGTAATCTCACGCCCCTACTACTCTTTTCATGCAAAACAAAACACCATTTAAGTCAGCCTTTCCTATTTCCTAAGGCATGCTGATCTGTTCAGGTACCAGAGTAAGTCTCAGTGGTTGCCACCGTAACTGCAATCAATTTACTTGTTGAAAAAACATCTTACAAGTTGCAAAAGTTTCTTACAAGTAAAATAATACAGGGAAAAAAAAAAAAATCAAGGAAGAGTTAACACAGCAGTGTACTCATAGATTCATCTGGCTGGAGACTTCTCTGTTCCCTGAAAAGCTATTTTCCAGCAAATCTTTTTCTCGACATGTTTTATGTACCCGGCCAGCTAAATCATCCCGTATCAACTGTTTATGAATTCAGGACTAGAGTCTTCCTTTTGCAAAAGACTCTTTACACTGACAATATACATTTCACTGTCCTATCGTTTCTACTTCCAATGTTTATAAGAAAGCCTTTTTCATAATTTTATTGAAACAAAAATTGCAGAAAAATTCCTATTTAATGCCATCTGCAGCAATGAGAACTGAATGACAATCACCTGAAGTGTAGACCGAGTACTTTAAGTGCAAGTCTACTGAAAGCACAAACTACTACTACATCTTGCAGAGAGTTTTGGGGTTGAGTTGAAATACCAACTTCGTAGCTGTAGGCATCAGCATGTTGCTGATGTTTTTTGCACAAGCCTGGAAATAGCTCTTCAAACATTTCAAAATTCAATTAAAAAAATAGTAATGTTTTGTCTTATTTCCTCACCAGATTCGTGGAGCTGGTACCTCAATATTATTTTAGCAATCTCCCTCCTAGTGAAAGTAAGGATATTCTGCAGGAAGTGATCAATCACTTGTCGCCTGTTTCTGCCACGAAGGAGGAACAGAAAACTAACAATGACAACAAAGAAGATGAAAAATTTCCCCAAACTCCCACTGAACAAAGATGTATTATTCAGTGATTTTTAGACTGAACTATCCTATATCGGACAAATACAAATAAAAGCAGTATATGCAATATACATCCCCACCTTAACCCATGTAATTGTTTTGAACTTTTGACATAAATGTATTTAACAGAAGAAACATAGAAAAAGCACTTTTCTTAACCAAAAGAGTTGCACGCATTAATTTGTAACGAAAATATGTGATTCAGTTTTGGTTAAAAACATATTGAGCAGATCTTCCAAGTTTTCTTGTAACACTGGGTTTTTATTGACCGCTTAATGATGATACCAAAGGATAATAAGATACAGTATTTAAAAATATTACTTTGATGGATATTTTTAGTTGTACCACCTACTCGTCTTCTAAGCATACAGAGCTTCGAAGCATTTGAGCAGTCCAAAAGCATTAACCCAACAGCAGTCTTCTGAAAATATTGGGAAGTCGTAGTTCTGGGTGGCCGCTTTGTAAAAAACGGTGTTTATAGGAAAGCTCAGAGTGAGAGATAGTCTCTGAGTTTATCCATAATTGCATTAATTCCATCAGCTGGAACTATCATAACAGTCCGCCAAGGTTTCATTGGCACATCGTCAAAGGACCATCTGCCGCCCAAACAGGTGTCACTTTCCTCTTGCACAGAGTAGCTGAACTTCAGAAGGGCTTTCTAAAGAGCAGAAATAAATGCATTAGGATTAAAACTTTGAATTACCATGGAGATAATACATCAGCTAAACAAAGGAAAATGAATGAGCCTATTATGCACGTGCTTATTCAGAAGCCATTTTCTTCCCTCTCAAAAGGTCCACCAAAAAAACCTACAGGAGAATCCGCTATTGAACGTTTTAAACTATTTATTTTTCACAGCATTTGCGTAACTCATATTAAATTCTAAAATTATTGCTATCATTATGGTTTGGTATCAGAAAAAAAGACCTAGGAGGAAAATAAAATAAAATAATAATAATTAAAAAAAAAAATCAATGCCCCCTTTATATGCTTACTGTGCCTCATTTTAGATGATTTTAAGACAGCACCTCATTCCATATTATCACAGTAAGAAATGCCGACCCTTGGACACTACTGTGCCAACTAGCAGGGATCCTTGAGCAATAACAGGAATATCAGGCTCTTAATAGACCTTCAACCCTGGAATGAGAGCAGTGTATTTTGATCATTAGCAGATGAGCCAAAACCCAGAGAAAAGGAGCAGTGAGAGAGCGCAGGTAGAATAGAGCCTGCGCTAAAGATGACGGCTTGGTGTGGGCAACACGTGGAAGGCCTGCAGCAATGAATGGGCTCTGCTCTTCTCATGGCCTACTCTAAAGACTGCTCAGAGTCCTAAAAAATAACGTATCTGTAAGAATACACGGTACAGCAATCCCCTCTTTCACACTGCCAGTAGGAATTAAGTATTAAGGGGATGGGCACTAACATGACTCCTGAGCAGAATTTCAGAAAGCTCCTGGAAAGTCTCTAGATGGCTGGAGCCGCTGAAAGACATATTTATAAAGGATGCTTCTTCACATGGGTAGGTGTCCATAACGTGTATTATTTCTTTTCAGTGATACACACCGTACACAGACAGAACAGTCTCTTTTTATTAGCCTTCCTAGACAAAATGCCTGATGGGTAAGAAAGGCTTACCTAACAAATGTTTCCAGTTCTCACACAAGTCAGATTAAGAAGTATGAACTGAACTTCCTAAGTAGAAAAACTTACCTAACCTCTTCCCTTTGCAGGGAAAGTTAAGATCCAGCCTCCTTTTAGGTTTGCTATTTATTAACAGAATCTCAAGGTTGTAAATTTAATTTCGGAAGAACCATCACATTAACTGAGTGGCTTTGCGCGAGAACAAACAATTTGAGCAACGGAGGCCCTAAACCTTTAATCAATTCCAAGTCTGGTTACAACAGAGCTTTTCTTCTGCTCCCCAGATAATGTGATAAGGAACAGAATAAAGCACAGGGAACTGACAAGTGCAAAAAGGCTTCTCTTTGTTTTATATGGCTCCAAGTGTCTGCCTCACCGCATTTAATACTATTTTATGGCAATCTAATTAACACTATGTGTGATCAGGGAGGATACACACTCCAAAACTCATTTAACACATATATATTATTAAGTACAGAGGCCCACTTAATATAATATCCTCCATAATGTTTAAGGTGAATTTGTTAAAAACGCTAGAAAGACTGTTAAAAAGAAAAGCATGTTCAGCTTGAGTCTACCCATTTGAGTTGAAAATTATTGCAATCTAGGTAAAAGCACACAATTAGTCTGTAAAATGCCACTCAAAATAACAAAACAGAGATAAACACAAAATAGGCCTTCTAGAACGTAACACCCACGGACACATGGGCATCACAGGCTTCTCCCCTTCGGCTTTTCAATAACGTGTTTACACCGAGTTCTAGTGCAGTTCGTAAAGCTGCTGTGGCAGGAACACAAAAAGAAAATCTCAGACTTGTTACTGCAGAGGCTACAACAGTATCCCCTATAGCCAGTAATGAATTCACCCACTTACATTTTTCTTCTTCCTGAGAAATAAAATTACAGCCGTAACAGAGCCTCTAACAGAACGTCATGAATGATTACACACAGGAACCTTTGCCATTAACCACATGATGCATGTGCAAGTACTTTATCCTGTAGGCACTGCCAGAAATGAAAAATAATGGTCTCTTGACAAAGCAGTAATATTGTAGAATAGTATTTTTAAAGCTTTGAAAAAACAACAACAAAAAAAAACCCCAATGAAAAATTCTTTGCATGTCAAAATACATTTTTAATTTAATTTCCTGCATCTTCCCCTCATCTGATTTGGCTTGGGACCAGCAGAATTGTGTAGACAGGTTGCCTTAGGAAATAGGAAGTACTATTTTCCTCTCATTATTTTAGCACTTTTTGTTAATATACTTGTCCTGAGTAGAATAGAGACAGAAAAGGGAAGTGATAGCTACTTTCCTGGATCTTCAAAAGATTTTTATTCTGAGCATTTTTTGAAAGTAACAGGTAGCCAAAAGGAAATGGATAAATCATCTCACCTAATACCAAGGACGACACAAAGGCAGAGCTTTGCACCTGTTAAGTTTCTTGGGAAGAGATCTCAGAAAAAGGCATTTAACTGCATTACCAACTCCAAATAAAGCCTCAACAGCTGGTTTTTTTCTGACACAGGACTAACTATGTAGGGGGAAGGAAAAGAGATCTGAGTATTTAAGTATTGACATTCATTGCAGATGCTGATCGAGACACTAACAACAGAGATTCCTCTGCGGTTTTTTGAATCTTTATTCCTGTAAGTGCTTAAAGCTGTGACACGTGATTAAGTCAGAGCACCCTTGCAAGTTCCTACCTGTTGTTTGAGCTGCCAGTCTCGAACACTTGTGATGTAAATCACGTTAGCTCGAATCTCACGGACAGGCATTCAGGCTAACCTGCACTTCCTGCAATTCACACACCCACAGTCTTCTCTGTTCAGCTGACACAGCAATTTAACAAGTCTTTCACGTTTCTTATTATTCAGATTGAAGACAACCGCACTGTTCCTCAAACAAAAGAAATCTCAAACTTTTGTAACTCAGAAGGCCTAGGACATGCTGCTAAATTCAACATCCAGATTTGTTACCATTTGTTCATCCTAAAAACGTGGACATTCCACGCACAGTATTTCAACAAGTCTGACAATTATTACATTCAATTCAATCTCTTCAGCATTGCTGTATGAGTGAAGAGATGAAGTTTGTTAATTCTTCGAGGCCAAGACACTGGCCTCAATATAAAGCATCACCTGATCTTTCTGCTAAAGCCTCTGATTCTTTCAGGTACTCTTTGCATTTTTCCATTATCCTCACAGCACTGGAAACCCCATCAGGTAGTAACGCTGCCACAGGCAGCCTACGCCACTCGACCTCGTAGTCAGGTTGATTGTGACCTGATACAAATAACATATTAGTAAGTTTATGCCAATACAGAAGATTAATTTAATAATTTGGACTTATGGATGGCACATATCTCCACGACACTCTAAATACAAGAGGTGTTGTCTTCAATACACAAAAATAAGTTGTTTGCTCATCTCTCAACACTACTCTGAGAAAAGCCAGATTTCATTTAAAAGATATGTGACCATATCTTTTTAAAAGATCCCTTGAATTTAAGGTGAAACACCTTTTTTGCTGATACGTAAAAAAAAAATAATATTTTAAATTAAAAGAATCCCATATGTTACCTCATAAAAGAATTCTTCCTCTGCATTTGCAAACATTAATTCCTCCTTTTGCTGATTTCTCCCTTCCATCTTCTTAGAGTTGCTCTTTGTGGCTTCTGTAAAAGTCTTGCTGATAAGAAGATAGTAGTGGCACCTTCCACAAGGTTTGTTTGTTCTCTGTGCCTCAGTCAACTCTTTCCTAAAGACAAATGTTTATACATAAAATTTAAAAATTTGTTTACTCACACAATTTAAACCCTCAACAAGCGTATAAGTAAACCTTAAAACGTGCTACTATAGCAAGCATATTCATATTGCAGCCTATTCTTTTACAAGTGTCTCAGAAAATAAATGTTGCATATGCATTCCTAGTACTTAAACATACTATATGAACTTTAAAACACTGAAAATATGGATGCCTTTCCACACCTCACAGTACAACCCTTTTTTCCCAGAATCTTGTTCATGGTAGAGAGTCTGTGAAATGATTCTAAGCGCAACTCTCCTGAAAATTCATCACACTATCACTTTCATGAGGAACTGTAACTGAAGAGGCAGAAAATATTCTTGCCCACCCTTGCATTAAACATGGTGTCACTGCAACACTCCAAAATCTTCAAGACAAAGAGGCTGAGATCTGAATTTGACTTGTCACAAGCGCTGGACTAGTGGTAAACCTCAAAGCTAAGCCTTCAAGCACCTCATTTCTTTCTCCAAAAACATTCCTGACCAACCCTACTGACATGTTTTCTTTCATATCGAAGTGGTAACTCCTTACAGGTCCATTTTATTCTTTAAATGAGCCATGATAGCAGTCAACTTAAACTGACTTCTAATCTCACCTCATAAGACAGAAAAGAAGGAAAAACCAAAGAAACAATCAAACAACCAAAAAAGGCAACAAAAAAAAAATCTTTGATTACTGGAGTTCCTTATCCAACATATTTTCCTGTTCTCAATATGGCACTAAACCAATACAACACTGTATCCCCGTGGATTCATTTACTGTCACCCAGCCTATGATATAAATCCATGAACTGGTAGAGATCGACCAGCACTCAACCTGCTTCACTCATTTACGTGAAAGCAGTCACAGCACTGCGTATGGTTTTCATAGGCCAGAACTCATCCACCCGGTAAACCTGTCCTTTAATCCAAATCTTCTACTCCAGAGCCAGACATTAACACATGAGCAGGAACACCCAAGTTGCTCCAAGTGCTATGAAAAGTTATTTTTTTTAATTTTCCTACACCAATATGAAAATAATCTGCAATGCAAAGATAAACTACAATACACACGCAGCTCTTTCTGCAGTAGAACAGCCCATATTTTTGAATGATTTCCTCATTAAAGAGTCTGAAAAGCCTAAAGATACAAAAAATATTAAAATTTTAACTAACTTATATGAGATGGAGATACTTATTTTTCTGTTCATGTCTTACCTACATCTATAGTATCATCTGTCTTAATTATAAAAGATTTCTGAAAAAATACGAAGAAAAAGTACTATTCAACATCATGTGAAAAAAATCAAACAAACAAACTTACTGAAGCTGCTGATGCATGGGCAGAGCAATCTGTGGTGGTACGTTAATGAATCTTTCACTTAGTATAAGACCCACAGGCTTAGTATTGTCATCTAGGAGCTTATTCAGTTGTTCAACTACATGATGTTCACAGCTCTTCCCACACCGACTTAGAATCAGCTCTTTGATTTGTTCAGCACACTGTGTACCCTAGAATCAAAAAGTGCATTTTATTTACATTATAGAACAATTATTTACACAAGAAAACCTTAAATGTGAACTTCAGGGGAACAGTCTACAGGCCTACTGGCAATTTCCTTAAGCAGTCCCTAAAAAGCACTGAAACAATTTCTCTGAAATTATTTACCAACCCTGACACTGAGGGCAAACAAAGGTTCTTAACTGACAGGAACACAGCCGGGAGCTGCAACCCCAGTGCCCTCAGCAGCAAAACTCAAAAGCTGTGAAAGATGAAAGTGAAGAAATACAAGAGGCCAACAGTTCAGTTCATAGAATCTCAGGATGGTTTGGGTTGGAAGGGACCTTAAAGACCATCCAGTTCCAACCCCCTGCCATGGGCAGGGACACCTCCCACCAGACCAGGTTGCTCCCCGCCCCATCCAGCCTGGCCTTGAGCACTGCCAGGGAGGGGCAGCCACAGCTTCTCTGGGAAACCTGTGCCAGTGTCTCACCACCCTCACAGGGAAGGGTTTCTTCCCAATATCTAACCTAAATCTCCCCTCTTTCAGTTTGAAACCATTACCCCTCGTGCTATCCCTACCCTCCCTGACCAAGAGTCCCTCCCCACCTCTCCTGCAGCCCCCTTTCAGCACTGGAAGGCTGCTAGAAGGTTTCCCCAGAGCCTTCTCTTCTCCAGGCTGAACACCTCCAACTCTCCCAGCCTGTCCTCACAGGGGAGCTGCTCCAGCCCCTGAGCATCTTCGTGGTCTCCTCTGGACCCCCTCAAGCAGGTCCATGCCCTTCTTGTGCTGGGGGCCCCAGAGCTGGAGGCAGCATTGCAGGGGGGTCTCACCAGGGCGGAGCAGAAGGGCAGAATCCCCTCCCTCGACCTGCTGGCCACGCTGCTCTGGATGCAACCCAGGATGCCATTGGCTTTGTGGGCTGCAAGCGCACATTGCTGGGTCATATTCAGTTACCCTGGAACCACTTACTAGACCTAGTTTTAACTCCTATTCCACTCTCTGCTTTGTTTCTGACCTTCAGCAAGTTACGCAGGACTAGATCCAGAAGAAAGGTAAGCAATGTGCAACTGTTAAGAGCACTGTCCTCCACGGTGGGATTCAAAGCCCTAATCTGGTTGTCCAGGCTTGTAACACAAGGCAGAAAAGCAGGACACAGTCTCATTTATTACTGTCTAGACGTTACTGAGGAACACCAACCTTCCTTTCCGTTAAGTTTAAGCAGCTTATAAAACCAAAGACTTCATCATCATCTTCATCATCGTCGCTGCTGTCTTCTTGGACTTCTGCTTGCTGTTTAATGAAAGAAAAGGCAACAACTCACACTGACATTCTATTTCCACTCTCTGCAGCAAGAAATGTTTTTCCTTCCAGAAGATGCTGGGCAGATAAGAACCATCTAGGTAATCTGTACAAACACACAACCTACAAATTCTGGTTACAGTTATGAAAGTGCTGCATGATCGAATGTCTCTGTGTACTCAGAGTCAGCTATAGAGCGAGCCAAGTCATGTGTCTTCTACAGCAGGATGTTTTGAAAGGCACTAAAATTTGATAGCTCACATACAATAAGCAGCATTTCATTACAAGGGATGGCAATATCTTAAGCAAAACCAATTTTCTTCAGTTTCTAACACAGAGAAATAAACCTGCCAAGTCTTAAAAACCACAGAGCAACAGAGCTTTGACAGAGAGTGAAACAAGAAGCTCAGCAAAACTCTGCCACGGAAAACTTGGGGAAAGAACTGGGGGTGATGCAGTTGTAATATAAGGATCGTATTAAATTGGGCCGAAAACCCGTTGGCACAGGACAAAAAGGGAATGTATAGCAGTGATACCACGCAACACAGTACAACAGCACAACGGTGCCGTGGGGGCAGCTTGTTTGGGTTTGAAAGCAGTGTGGCTGTGACATCTTGAGCACGTCGTAGTACTGAACAGCTTTCTGAGCCAAGAGTAACTCAGGAGCCTCTGCACTGCTCTGCTGCCCCAGCAGAGCTTGTTGAGGACTCACGTCAGGATCCTTTCCTACGCCCAAAGAACTCTGCACAAAAGGAAATGCCAGGCAGGATATTTTTGGTCTGTATCTGTGTTCATCCTGAGAATCTAGGGAAACCACAAGGTCCTACTTCTTATGGGGATGGTAACAAACACCTCCACAGCACTTTCAGCATTATTACTCTACTACACCAAAATTCAGAGAGAAAAGCAAAAAGCCTTCCATATGTAAAAAGAAACCAATCAAAACAATAAATCAAATTCCTTGTTTGGTTGAAAGTAGGCACGAAAAATTTCAGCTCCCATGGAAGAATTTTCCTCAAAGCAAGGAAGTGTACAAATGACAATACAGGATGCCCTTCTGAAAGCCTTTTTATGTCATTTCAACATAAAAAGCATTGGACTTCACTACAAACATAAATTCTGTCTTACCTTGATAATACTTCCAATATGATTCTGTTGTATTAATATATCAGTTAATTCAGCAGTGTTAACAGGAGCTTTTAGAAACAACTGGAAAATAAGAAATAAGATTAAGAAGTTTTAGGCCAGATATCATGGGCCACTTAGTAGAAAAAGGCAGTAATTTCTCTAAGTTGTTATGCAACACTGTTCCATTTTTAATTTGCACTTAGTGAGTTTAACCTCCTTCAACGTAACACTGTGAAGACCAAACATCAGCTTCCTGAAGCGCTTGCTCCTTGACCCTCCACAAGCTGGCGTTTTGCACACCTGGTATCCTTCTGAGGTTGGTATGAGGTGAACACTTGCTGACCACGGGTTTACAACACAGACAGCCAAAAGAAGACTGGAAGCCACCAAGTTGAACAGACACATTGTTGTCTGGTTTTTAAGGGCTGTCATTTACCAAAAAAAAAACCCTCCAAGAAGCTGATCAACACTGAACAGTTTTCTGGGCAGCAGCTAACACAAGGAAGATGGAAAGATTACACACACTGTGGAAGAACAGCCCTGCAGTTCATTAAGTTCTTGAAACCATGGTTTAGGAGACACACGTTCACTGTGGCTGTAAGTATTTAATCTTCACAAGCTGAAGTACAGTAAAACTATGAATCAACACAGAGAACATGAACTGATGACTGTGCATAACTCTTCAGATATTATTTATCAATGGACACATCAAGCAAGCTAACAAGAAGTCACAGTACCTGTTGCAGTAATTTCTTTATCCCGTTATAGTCATTGTCTGATATGGAATGTGCTTCAAATTCAATATTCACTTCCTATGAACAAGTAAAACAGAGAATATCAAAGGTACTTGGCAAGAAGCTATATCAAAACAAAGCTAAACTATAAGAAATGTAAAGACAAGTAATGGTCACCATCAGAAATGGAACTTATCCCCATCTTCCAGTAACCTCAACAATTGTTACAGTCATCGTTTCTGCTGCAGAGAGCACCTGCAAAAGTCACTTTTTAAAACTAACTTACAAACTGTGTTGTGAACAAACCTTTAACGCTTTGTTCCTGCCATCTGGTTCACACAATCATGTTTACTGCAGCCACACAGACTCTTACTGTAGAGAGGCTTGATCCAGGCAGTTAAACTCTCAGAACTGCAGGACTGGAGTGTAATGCCTTGGCTAAAGGTGAAGATCGCTGCAGACAATTAACCAATGACATCCAAACCCTACTTCTGCTAGTTCCTCAAATCCTAGTGGTGTCATTAACCCCACTCTGGAAGTCTGTTCAGCAGACACACAACAAGACGTCACCACAGCAAAGCAGAACGTGAACTCCCACCTCTCCTTCCAGAACAACCTACCGGAGTTTTTCACTGGTCTCCTGTATCAACAGCACTGCCCGCCCAGCTTGCCTTGCCTACCCAGTCTTCTGTGAACCATGTTCAAGATCATCTGAATGTACTTTGCCTTTTCACTGTCAGTTTGGACTCCACTTTCTGAACGATCCAAACAACGAAGCCTTACTTTTGTCACCAATTAAGACTCATAACTCTTTCCAAAACCCTACTGAGGTCACGGTCTTTATTGTCCGCTGGGAGAACAGCGCTAAAGGCCTGTTCACAATGTAGAAAATAGGTACACAACCACTCGGCGGGGGGGGACAGAAATCAGGAGACACGCTCAGATATTCTTCTACAGTCTAGAAAGCAAGGAAGCTCTATAGAGATAACGAGAGCAATTATTTACTTGAGAAGCTACCTATATAAGAAAACAGATTGTATCTCTGGTGTATACAGCATCCACTCCCGGCACCCAGGAACTTCCTGACTGCTTTAAAATTCAAGGATCTCACTGAATGATTAAGCCAGTAAATTCTGAACAAAACACCATTTACAGTGGTTCTGAATACTGTGAAAATCACAGCCATAAAATTGATATAAACCATGGGAGCACTAGATGTTCTAACACTGGTCTTGCTTCATGGCTTTTTCACTATCCAAAGTAACAGCTTGGTATGACAGTTTACAAACCCTCCATCTTTCATCTATTAAAAAAAACCCAGCAAGTAAAGACTCATCATATATTTTGGTGTGTCCTGTCTTGCTGCTGTGTGCTTATTCTCTGCCCTCTGCGCTGCATCCAAAACAAAGCAAGCGCCTGCAAAGCAAGCTGTTATATGCAACAATACTCTGCTACGCACAACAGAGGAGCGAGCAAAGCTCTTTCTCAGCAACCAGGCTCTAACTGGCGATCGTATTGTTGTTCTCAGACTGACAGAACAACCACATGCCCCTTTCAATGGAGTATCTGCATAAAGGAAGAGATTTTCGTTTTTCTACCTGAGGTGGTTAAGAGGCAAAGGGAAAGGCTAATATAGTAAAAATAAAAACGCTGAGAATTACAGAGAAACTTTACAAATGTCTGAGCCTGTATAACCATAAACATTCGTTATATTTCTTTAATATTAGCAATGCACGCCTGGTTGTCTTATAGAATTGAAGGAAACTCAATATATCTTTATATCAAGGCTTCCAAACTGAAATAGATACAATAGCGATATTTCATCCTCAAAAGGTGGACTACTGAATTAAAACAAGCGTTATACTGCAAAACTATACAGTGCAGAAACAATGGCAAATAAAGCACTGTAGTGAACAGCAGTGTAGGGCACACAGAAAGCATCCTCCAAACCCCTCTCACTGAAGACTCAAGAAACTTCAACCACAAACACTGCAACAAAAACCACCGTCTTACCAACACAATGCAGGAATGATGAGCACTTTAAAAATAACCAAAAAAA